AAACAAGAAGCTGCAGACTTTCCAGGCAGCTTTTAAGTTATCCTGACAACACTACAGCAAACAAATACTTGACTATGACTAGATAACTGATCAGCGTCATTCTGATGAGTCATTGCCAAGCAGGTAAGCATCTCCATGTCATGAGGATGGCAGAATCCGCACTCTGCAAGGGGTACGAACAAAAAGATGAGATCTATGATTGCCCGACGCTCTCATTTATTAGATGAATTATATTCGGTGAGAATTGCCTAACACTGGCCGATATAAGAAAGGCACCTCTTGGCAATGTTGTCCACTACATTAAATCTGTAGGCAGGCTCACGAGCTAGGAGGTGCCGATCTTCTTAGGAGGATGCAAAATGGATCTAGTAAGGCCTAAGTGTTGTGGGTCAACCCACTTTCCACCCGTTACAGATATAGATAGAAATTGAAACATATGCATCTCTTAAAAGAATACAATTGTTGAATTATTGTGGTTTATTCGTGATTGTGGATTAGTAGATGATGATAAAATTATTGAAGTAAACTGTTCTTACTCAGCTCAAGAATTTGCACCATTAAATACACCAAAACATGTTAAATACTTTTGTTCTACTTAGAGTGCTGATGGCAAAAAATTGTCCCTTAGGAAAATCATAACTAGCCCAATCGGATTAGTATTTTAGATTCTGAAAAATTCGAAGCAGCAATTTTCCTTCGGAATTCGTTGGAGGGGGTCTCTGGTAGTCTAAATTCAAGTTGGGATTCCAAAGTTGTCGTTACCTCCGCCATCTTGATTTAAAGGGTTATTTTTTGTATCTTGAATAACTCATTTATTTTCAATTTTACACAGAAAATAGTTTTTACAAAAGTTATTTAAAATTAAATTTCCTACAATTCTGCTTTTTTTTTGTACGATCGATTTTTTTCGATTTATACCCGAAAAGAGGGGGTGAATTTTTGGTTATAGAATAACTCGTTTATTTTCAATTTTATGAGAAAAATTGTTATAAAAAAAGTTGTTTAAAATTAAATTTCCTACAATTCTGCTTTTTTTTGTACGATCGATTTTTTTCGATTTATACCCGAAAAGAGGGGGTGAATTTTTGGTTATAGAATAACTCGTTTATTTTCAATTTTACGGGAAAAATTGTTATAAACAAACTTGTTTAAAATTAAATTTCCTACAATTCTGCTTTTTTTTTGTACGATCGATTTTTTTCGATTTATACCCGAAAAGAGGGGGTGAATTTTTGGTTATAGAATAACTCGTTTATTTTCAATTTTACGAGAAAAATTGTTATAAACAAAGTTGTTTAAAATTAAATTTCCTACAATTCTGCTTTTTTTTTGTACGATCGATTTTTTTCGATTTATACCCAAAAAGAGGGGGTGAATTTTTGGTTATAGAGTAACTCGTTTATTTTCAATTTTACGAGAAAAATTGTTATAAACAAAGTTGTTTAAAATTAAATTTCCTACAATTCTGTTTTTTTTTGTACGATCGATTTTTTTGTATTTATCCCTGAGAAGAGTGGGGGTGAACCTAAGTATTGTATTGTCACGTTTATTATTGATGTTGTACCATTATTTTTTCTGTTTGTTTTTTTTTGCTGATTTTCAAAAATGTTATTTGGTACAATTATGATTCCGATTTTTTCTAAGAGTTTACCCCCACTCTTCTCAGGGATAAATACAAAAAAAATCGAGCGTACAAAAAAAAAACAGAATTGTAGGAAATTTAATTTTAAACAACTTTGTTTATAACAATTTTTCTCGTAAAATTGAAAATAAACGAGTTATTTCTATAACCAAAAATTCACCCCCTCTTTTCGGGTATAAATCGAAAAAAATCGATCGTACAAAAAAAAAGCAGAATTGCAGGAAATTTAATTATAAATAACTTTTGTAAAAACTATCTTCCGTGTAAAATTAAAATTAAATGAGTTATTCAAGATACAAAAAATAACCCTTTAAATCAAGCTGGCGGAGGTAACGACAACTTTGGAATCCCAACTTTTTGAATTTAGACTACCACAGACCCCCTCCAACGAATTCCGAAGGAAAATTGCTGCTTCGAATTTTTCAGAATCTCAAGCCTGTTCTTCACCTAATCCGATTGGACTAAACTTATTTTACTAAATGTTTAGCAATCATTTTTTTTTTTGTAGAATCAATAAATATTTTTAAAAGGTATATTTTTTACATTCAGTTTTAATAGAAATATTTTATTTTTTTTTGGAGTAATAATATATAAAATACCTTCTTAGGTATTATTATGGTTTTTAAGTTAATCACATTCTTTCGAATTTATATTTTTTTAACAGAAAAATCTGTTTTTTTTACTCTTCAACCCTCTTAAATCCATTCCTACGATCCAATTTCTACCAAAAACTAATCAACATGTAATTAACAGGACACTGAGATTTGGTAAACATCTGTTTAACTCTTTTAATTGATAAAACACATGCATCATTCAGAACACACCTTTCATTTAATAATTAAATAATTCAAATATTCTGTAAAATGAATAGGTATGCATCGACCGAATTATTAATAGAAAAATATTTATTTAATCCAGCGAATTTATTAATAACTCGATCTGGCAACAAGGTAGCGTTGGTGTACGCAGATATCCGAAATTTTTGTTCGAGTAGTAAATTTAGTGCTCTCTGTGAGCAATTTTAGAAAGTACTGATTGAGATGGCAGCACCTCTCAGAGATAAGGCTTTTAAAGAAAGAATTCAAAATAACTTTATTGTTTAATTGAATTTTTCACTATATGTATGAAAAAATTATTAATGTGTGGAGGTCAATGTATACAAATATAATTATTGAAGGTGTATTGTATAATATTACATTCATTTTTATAGTTTAAATCTAATTTTTGCGAATAAAATATATATATTCTTCAATTACGTCATTTCTGCACGTTCAAAAATTTTCAAAAAATTTGTGTAAGTTTCTTAACCAAAACTAATTTATTTTATGAAATAATGATTTCTCTTGATATTCTAGTTTCTTTGTTTTATACTTGTAAAAAAGTAAATTTTCCGATTTTTCTCGAGAACAAATGATACAAACCGGATCAAATTTTGGTAAAATAATACTAAAGGTTATATGAGTCCCCTAAATGCAAAACTCGGTATTTGCTAGTTACAAAATTTTTCAGGAAGGGCAAAAAACTGTCAGTAATTAAAATACATATGTATTCGTTTTAAATTTTGTTTTTAGTTAGCTCTAGTGATTTTGTTTTGAAAACACTATGCTCTTTAATCCGGAATCCTATCAAACATTAAAAAAAATATTTTTAAAATTAAAATACCGAGTTTTGCATTTATGTTTTAAAAAAACCCAGTTTTGCAACTCACAATTGCAAATACCGATAAGTGCATGGTTGTCTTATTTTATAGAACATTTATTTTCTTATAATTTTTTTTTTTAATTAAAGATACAAAAATATAAATTAAAATATTTTTATAAGGTGTAAACTGCAAAAACAAGCGAAATTACTTCTGGCCTCTTCAGAATCCAAACAACAAATGAATAAATTAAAATGTCCACGTGCCCGTGCACTTACTTAATCACGTGACTATTGGGCGCAACGCCATTGGCAGCAGGTTACAATTACGTAGTTTTGCATTTGACAAGTGAGCAAATACAGAGTTCTGCATCTAGTCTTTGTTTTCTAAAGCGTTTTTAATGCAGAAATAGGGAGTTTTGCTTCTTATTTTAGGAGAAGAATGGCAGAGTTTGAAATAAGGAATTGAATGGCGTCAAAACATTACTTTTGAAAATTTCGTCAAATACTGTGTTTTGCATTTAGGGGACTCATATATACATTCACAAATTTTTTCAAAAATTTTAAACGTGTAGATACTTTTTCCGGAGGTCCATATAAACCTTAAAGAATATCTTTTTTTTTACAATTGGAGAAGAAAATTCTTCAAATAAAAGTTGTTTGCCATATCATTCTCTATAATTTTTGCCGTATACATAATTTTCTTAAAATGGTCCGTATTCGAGAAATTTTACAAAAAGACAAACATCCAATTTTTAAGAAAACTGTTTAAATAATAGTCGCTTGTGATGTCATTCTCTATAATTTTTACTCTATACATGATTTCCCTAAAATGGACCGTAATCGAGATATTTAAGGAAAAGTGCAAATTTCGAATTTCATTTAAAAAATGGAGAAAAGCCGCATAAAAAAATGTTTCGAGTAAGATGTGTGTGGAAAATATATGTATTTATTTCATCCTCTAAAACTCGAAATATTTACAGAAGCGATACTATATGTTGTAGAAAATACTTAATTGGAAAAAGAAAGCCTGTAATAATTAGTTAGACAGGAAAGCCATGTGTTGAAAGTCACGTGTTAGGTTTTAATTTTAATTTCTAATAAAAATCAAGTAATAATTCATTGAAGCTGCTTTCGTTACAATTATTGCAAATTGGAATAAAGGATACTAAAACTGGACAATATACAAAAATAACATTTATTTTTATAACCCATTTAAAAAAACTTTTTAAATACCTACTGAAGAATAATTACAGCTGCAAACACATTAAAATAACAAGAGACTAAATAATTGAAGAAAAATGAAGAATTTTAAGGAACTATAAGTAATTATAGTTAAAATTTTGATTCGCTTGACTTACCAATTTACTTTTTGGATTAGGTTCTTTTAATATTTTGAAATAATTTTTGTATATTAATTTTCTCATACCTTGATTGAAAGGACGAGTCCCCTCTAAATGGAAAGGCACATGAAATATATTTTTTTTTCAACTTCAAAAATTAAATCTTTTTTGGTCAAATAAAGGAATTTAAGTCTTCTTTAAGAAATTTGATAAGATACCGTTCTTTCTCGAGTTTTGTCATTCTACCCAACTCCCATCCTTAGTCATAGAATACTGCAAAATAATGTTCAGGAATCAATTCTATTTAAATGTTTTTTTTTTCTAATCATCAAATATTTCCTTACTCTCGAATTTTCTAATCCTCATCGTCTTCTAGTTCCATTTCCACTTCGTCACTGTTCTCGGTTTTTGATTATTTAATTCTTCGTTTTGGGTGCTTTTGTTCATTTGGTCCTCTAACTCTCATAATTCTATCAACTGATAGTCGTCCTGCTTTTTTGGCATATAACCAACATAAGCTAGATTTTAGAACTGTCATTTCAGTTTTATTATTTAAGCTTAGTTTTAGGTATGGGGTATCATTACGTTTCATTTTATCAGTATAGTTTTTAAGATTTGAACTATCTAAATTGGAAAACACATTATTTATTTCTTCCTTGTCATTTTCTGGTATGGAATTTTCTAAACTAATTGGTTCTTTATTTACATTAAATATATCTTTGTTTACTATTTTCTCAGCTTTTGTTTGTAATGTACGAATATCAGCTATCTTAAATGCGTTAGGGTCTATATTACACATCCCCAATGAAGTTGCACTTTCTTGAGCATCTTTAAGAGCTTCATTAATTGCAGACATTATTTTTTCATGTGAGGGTAAATCTGTTTTAGATATTTTATTAGACTGTTGTCCTAATCTGCCTTCTTGTTCTCTTTGTATGTTTCATTATTATATTGCGGATCAATACAATTTCACAATAACATTTCGTATTCAATTTCTACATAAATAAAATATTAATTATTTCATATCATATTCCTCACTCCGCCTCTGATAATACCTATTTACGAAATTATGCAATAATCAGTGCTCTCTGCTTATGACTCATTTGTCAAGTACTACACGAATAAGTTGTTGCATATGCCGAAAAACTATTCATTATTTTCGAAAACATTTACAAACAGATCCAGTCCTTGGGGCCAAATAAATAAATAAGATTTATCTCGGAACTTGGAATGAAATTAAAATAAAAGTACCTAATTATATTGTTTCAAATGTTCTGAATATTTTATCTGCAGTTAGCTATTAGGTATGTTTGATTATGTTCTATAATGTTGCATAATACAAACAGAGCCGAAAAACTTGATATAAGCTAGTTGAAAATAGAATTAACAGAAATACTTGCCATCGTTTTATCAATAATTTTACAGCTTACCACTCTACACAGTCTACACACCGCTCTAAACACGTGTTAGTAAATGTTTATTTTAAAACGGGGATGAATTGGTCGAGCTATTGCCTTGCATTTCCGAGACAATGCCAGTATTGCCGAAACAATGCCAGTATTGCCGAAACAATGCCAGTATTGCCGAAACAATGCCAGTATTGCCGAAACAATGCCAGTATTGCCGAAACAATGCCTGCATTACCGAAACAATTCCAACATTGCCTAAAGTATTTCTTAACATTTCCGAAAAATTTGTACACCTATTGTCGAAGTGGAAAGTCCTTCGATCCAAAAATTAAATGTTTGAGGGTTCTAACTTGCTAAATCATCGTTATTTTATTTATTTTTAATTTGGTGTCATTGGAATCAACTACTAAGGTTATTAGCGTCGTGGTCTGTGTAGGCTTTGTTACTGTTTTCCAGTTACACCTTAGGAGTAGCACTGTAAATTAGAACCCAACAGAGAATGGTCGAGTGGAGAATCCTACCTATGCAATTGAATTAATATTTAATTTATTAAGGGCCAGTCTTTTCACCTCTGAGTAAAGTTGAAAGTAACTACTTGCTGATTAAACTATAGGGCTATTGTGTGTTAATCTGCCAAGTAAACCTACACGTAACTTTACTCAGAGGTGAAAAGATCGGCCCTAAATCAACTAAAAATCCTTATCACCGGCGGGATTCGAACCTAAGACTCTTCGATGTCAAAGTCATGACTAACCACTGAGCCAATCCACCCTATTATTTTACTTAAAATTATTTTTAGTTTATTTGTTAATAATTAAAGTTTTTCATCCACTTTATTAAGCCATTTATATAAAATTTCCAAATTTGGAAGGCTGAAGTAACAACGAAGTGAATATTATTTATCTTGACTATTTTTTTTTTTCAGGCAATCCAGTCAGTCATAGAATCTGGTAAAGCATCAATCTCAGATATTCGTTACGGTTTGGAAATATTGACAACTCTAAAAGAACAAATTCCGAACCCATCAAAAATAGCTCAAGCATTACAAGCTAAACTAAAAGAAGATGACAGTCTTCAGAACCTGGGCCATGCTCTTCATGCAGCCTCTTTATTGGGAGACTCTGGGAAATTTGCTTTGGATAGAGTAGAAGACATAGTTGTACAAGCTGATGAAGTTGATGGAAAGTTGTTACAATGGGAAGGAGGTTTAACTACTACATCATTGATTATAACTGGGTTACTAAGATTACCAGGAGCTACTCCTCTAAAATCATCACAAGCTGATAAATTTGCTAATTACTTATTGACTAGAAAGACTGTTCAAACTCCCAAAGGTGTACTGGCTCTACTCGAAGCTGCCGCTTCTCTTTCACTTAGTACCGTCTCTCCTGTTAGCATCTCAATTATAGGTCCTCCTCAGATTTCTGCAGAAAAATCAGAATTGAAAATCCAAGTCTGCAGTATTTTTGGTGTTCCACATAGGGTCCCTCCCACGCCCATTGAATTAGAATCTGTTACTAAATTAGCCGATAACAGTGTTGTACTCTCCAAACAGGCTCTTAAGCAGGGTGGCTCTTCTACTGAATTTGTTTTGCCACTTAAGTTAGATCCTGGTCTCTATAAGGTTATTATAAATGCTGGTCCACAATCATCTGACTTTGTAATAAGAGCTTTAGGTTCTTTGACTGTTAAATCTTTGGAAATTGGTCTAAGCGATTCTGATGGTGGTGCTGCTCTCAAACTTACAAAGCTTGTGTACAGAAACAAATTGGACAAACCGTTACAGGCTGATGCTAGTCAGAATTTGATTATTAAATTCTCTCTATCTAGACCTGTTCATCAAGCTTTCTTGAGATTGCATGCTGCTAAAAGGGAGATTATCTTTGTGGCTGAACAGGATAGTTCTAAGCTGTATTTGGTTGAGGTTAACTTGGAAAAAGAATTATCCGAGAATGGGAATTTCGAAATGGAGTTGATATTGGGAGATGCTTTGATTACGAATCCAGTTCGTTGGAATCTTGGAAATATCGAGATTAACCTAGGGAGTCATTTAACTAAAGAGAGTCCTAAAGCACTAAGAGGGCCTAAGCCAGATATTGAACATTTGTTCCGTCCTGCTGAGAAAAGACCACCAGAAGCAGTTTCCTTATTTTTCACTGGAATTACAGCAGCACCATTTTTAATACTCTTGATATTGTGGGCTAAAATTGGTGTGAATTTTGGTAACTTTACTGCACTATCTTTGCCTTTCCATGTCGGTTTTGGGGCAATTTTGAGCCTGTTTACTCTGTTTTGGTTGAAATTAGATATGTTTGTGACTTGTGCATGGTTGGTGCCCATTGGAGGATTCACATTCTTCTCCGGGCACAAGCTTTTGAGTCACTTGGCTAGGAGTAGAAAACAAGAAAAGGCTGATAAATAGTTTAATACACTATTTTATTTTTGTAAAGAAACTGGTTATTTTTTGTTTTCAGTTGTTACATTGCGTTCATCGCAAATCATTTTTGACTTTCTAAAGTTGTCACAAATTTTATAAAAAAGAAAAGTTAAAAGTACCCAATAAAAAGTAATATAATTTAAATGTATTTTTATTTTAAGCATTTTACTACTGGCTTGTTTAAGTTATGGCGCATGGTCTTATAATTTGAAGAAACTCGATACTACTAGTGCACTAGGCTAGACGTGTGTTCAAATTTCATAATACATTCTTAAATTTTAACTTAACTTTTCTAATCGCCCATGTGTTCAAGCCATTACGATTAAATCCACATATTCAAGAATTTCATATCTTTCCTCCTAAGAATAACAATGTCTTCTTGCTCTAATATAGTACAAATAAAATATATTTTTTGCAGACATGATAAAGATCACGTACGCCATAAATTCAAACCAATATATTAGAATCTAATGGTTTTCTCTCATATATAAATAAAGCTACTAGAGTTACTAAAGACACAAAATCCGCCATTGACCATATATTTATTAAAAAAGAAAATTGTTTAAGGGATAGGGTAAATATTGATCCAATAATTTTTTGTACAGATATGACAGACCATTATATTGCTTATGTTTACATTTCTTTTAAAAATAAAAGCACTTCCGAACAAGTACTTAGAAGCAATAAAATATTCACGCTAAATTGGGTAAAAGTAGGGGTGATGTTAAGTCAAAAATTGAACTGCAACAAAGTTATAACCTCTTTATTAACACACTAAATATATGGATACATGTACGAGTGAAAAAATAATAAATGATAAACGGCATAAACAATTAAAACCTTAGGACTTATAAACTCCATAAATCATCGAGATGACCTGAAAAAAAAATTATACAAAATAATTGGAAGAAGAATATAAAAACTATGGGTGAGATTACAGAACGTCTGCAACTTTGCAGATCTGCAAATATGGCGGCAACTTTGAAAATCTGCAAATATGACTGACTTACACATGCAAGTATCAAGTTTTCGTATTCCAAATTTGGGTTTAGTGTTGTTGGGAGTAATAAACCACAATAAATATTGCGAATTTGCAGATATTTTTTGGAATACTTGCATTTGTAAGTCCGCCATATTTGCAGATCTGCAAAGTTGCAGACGTTCTGTAATCTCACCCTATAGAAATAACTTTAATACATTAATTAGAAAAACCAAGAACGAATATTACAAATCAAAAATAACAGAAGCAGGTACAAATTATAAAAAAGTCTGGAATATAATCAATAATGTTTGTGGCGAAAGCGTCAAAAATAAAACGAAAATATTGACATTATTACAGATAATGGCAAAACCATAAAAAATAAGGAAAAAGCCAATGAATTTAACAACTTTTTTGTACATATAGGTAAAAATATGTCTAAAGAAATTCCTAAAGTTATATTACCTACAAAATTCTCATCCGATGTAACAGTACAACAATCAATATTTCTAGAACCTGTTACTAAAAAGAAACCCTAGAGAGACGAACTGGGAAAGGTATTCAACATCACTTGGAGAGTATCTCGAAGAGGGTATGGTGGAAATAACAGGTGAACAAAGCCTTGACCGAGCAGTAGACCAAGTAAGTAAGGCTATTATAACCGCTTACGAGGAAAGCTGTCCGGAGAAAACAAGGCAGCAAAGAACAAAAACAGTCTGGTGGAATAAACACTTGGAACGCCTTAGAGGCGAAGTGCGAAGGCTATTTAATAAAGCCAAGTCAACCGAAGACTGGGCCCTATACAAGGCTAAACTCACGCAGTACAACAAGGAGATAAGAAAGGCTAAAAGGCAATCGTGGAGGAAGTTCTGTGAGGAGTTATCTGAAACACCCACATGCTCTAGAATCCACAAAGTCTTAGCTAAAGAGGGTGCTGCAAACCAAGTAGGATTTCTCAGGAAAGATGACGAAACCTATACGAAAACCTTCGAGGAAACGTTAACAATGCTCACAGAAGTACACTTTCCGGCCGCAGAAATTTTGCTAGACCCGATAGTAGCATACAGCCCTCAAAGAAGGTCTCGTAGGCCAACTCCTTTGGAATGGAGGCTAGCTACAGAAATATCGAGGCCGAACAAAATTAGATGGGCTACAAACAAATTTCAATCATACAAATCCCCAGGAGTAGATGGAATATATCCCATTCTACTACAAAAGGGACAGGAAATTCTAATTCCACATATGTGTCGCATATTTAAAGCATGTATAGCCTGGCGACACATACCAAAGGCGTGGCAAAAGGTGAAAGTCATATACCTCCCTAAAGTAGGAAGGTTTAATGACATGACGCCAAAGTCGCACCGCCCAATCAGTCTATCTTCATTCATGCTGAAAACGCTAGAAAGACTAATAGATAGATATATACGAGACGAAATACTGAGAGAAAATCCTCTCAGCGACCGTCAATATGCATATCAGCCAGGAAAGTCAACCGATTTGGCCCTGAATGATCTTAACAGGCTATTGTCAAAATCCCTCGAGGATAAAGAAATGGCAGTAGCAACTTTCGTAGATATTGAGGGAGCTTTTAGTAATGCTCAAACAAGATCTATAATTAACGCATTAGCAATAAAAGGGGTACCAGTAGTCCTATGTCAGTGGATAAAAGCCAGCCTAAAAGAAAGGGTAATAACATCATCTCTAGGCGAAGCTACATTGACAGCTAAAGCAGGCAGGGGCTGCCCCCAGGGAGGAGTACTATCACCCCTTCTCTGGTCAGTCCTAGTGGATGAACTTATAAAAAGGCTAATATCTGCAGATTTTTACTGCCTAGGGTATGCCGATGACCTGGCGATCGTCGTAAGAGGCAAGTTCGCAGGTACAATATCGGAGCGCACACAAACCGCTCTAAACATTGTCGACGAGTGGTGCAGAGAGGAGGAACTAACAGTAAACCCTCACAAAACCACAATAGTCAACTTTACAAAACGAAAAGTACCAACAGGACTAAAGTCACCAGTACTGAAAGGAGTGAAGATTCCATTCGCTCAAGAGGCCAAATACTTGGGAGTCATCTTTGACCACAGGTTAACATGGAATCAACACTTGCAAAAAGTCACCCAAAAGAGCACAACGTCCTTCAACTTATGTCGAAGGTTGTGTGGAAAAAATTGGGGATTACAACCAAAAATGTCCCTGTGGTTATATACCAGAGTCATAAGGCCGATGATAACCTACGGGTCGGTGGTATGGTGGCCAAAGACTAGGCAAGCTGGAGCCATTCGACAGCTCAATGGTATTCAAAGGCAAGCATGCCTGAGTACCACGGGAGCTATGAGAACGACTCCAACAGCAGCTATAGAAGTCATGCTAAACCTAACACCACTACATATATTCATTCAAGGCGAAGCCAGGTCTGTCACATACAGACTGCACAAAGGTTCATCGCCCATAAGCAGTTTGCATGGACGCGACTACAGCGAGCTATATAAAGAGTTGGAGAACGACCAAATAATGGGAATGCCTTCAGACGAAATGCTTCCAAAGTATAGCTTTCAAAAGCAATATAAAGTAAGTATACCAGACAGGGAAACGTGGACGGGAGGACCTCCTATTCATGCAGATCTCACCTGGTATACAGACGGCTCCAAAACCCATGAAGGTTCAGGAGTAGGTATATATAGTACCAAGCCAAAGACAGGAATCTCACTGAGCTTAGGTAAACATGCGACAGTATTCCAGGCAGAAATAGCAGCAATACATCACTGCGCAAAAGAAGTATTAAGACAGAAGGTAAATGGAAAAACCATTGTCATATACTCAGACAGTCAAGCGACGTTAAAAGCACTCAGTTCCATGCAGGTACACTCAAAGCTTGTGTGGGACTGTTTGGAAGCCCTAACAGAGCTGGGTAGTCAAAACAGACTAACCTTAGCGTGGGTACCAGGCCACAGGGGACACAAAGGCAATGAAGAGGCTGATTTACTAGCCCGAGAAGGAGCATCAAATGCTCTTATTGGCCCAGAACCCTTCTGTGGTGTAACAAAAACAACTATCAGAACATGCACAAAGCAGTGGATGTTTAAAAAATCTCAGGAGTGGTGGGAAAACTCACCAGGACAGAGACAGGCCAAAAAGTTCTTAAAAGGACCATCGTCTAAACTCACCGAGCATCTACTAAGCCTTAATAGGAAAAATACTAGAATACTAGTAGGTCTATTAACAGGGCATTGTAGGCTTAACAAACATATGTTCAATATCGGTCTGACAGAAGAGGCCTTGTGCCGATTCTGTCAAGAAGAAGAGGAAACGGCAGAACACGTATTGTGCTACTGCGAAGGTCTAGTAAGACTGAGATTCCTTACACTTGGAGAAGAAAAACCAAGGGCAACTAGCTATACCGGAGAACTACTTTCCAGTCTATGGAGTTTACTACAAAAGACCGCATTAGACAAGGTACTCTAAACAATGATTAAAGGATATCCACAATAGATCTGAAAAGGTCGAGGTGGGGGAGGCCACATGGCCCATAGTCCTAATTAAATCTAATCTAATCTACTAAAAAGGAACCAATAGGAATAATCTCGAACCTTAAAAACAATTGTGCACCAGGCCCTGATAATATAAATTCAAAAACAATAAAAACGATTCACAAGTTTATCTTGGATCCTCTAGTACAGTGGTCGCCAACCTGTCGATCGCGAGCTACCGGTAGCTCGCGGAGGCAATTCTGGTAGCTCTCACAACGATTTTAATTTAAAAAATACAAACTGCAAAAATCAGAGAAGCTTCCGAAAATTCCACAAAAAAAAATTGTCATAATATTAAACATAAACAGCGGCAACGTTGCGGTGAGCGATCTGCCGCTGACGCCATCAAGCTAGAATCGGCTAGAACCGACCAGCCGGACCAGCGCGTTAGTGTTCGAGAACGATCAGGATTGCTTTGAACGGGATAAATACGCACGGCGCGGCGACATTGCGCTTAGTTTAAAATTGAACGCGTA